GAACCAAACTGATCAACATCTTGACTGGTGTCTTGTTTGCAAGTTTGTAGAAGATGGCGAGCATAAATTATATTCTTAGGACGACGTACAACTTACTGCAAGCCATGCTGGTTGAAAATGTTGGATTACACACGCAACTTACTGGACGTTGCTGTAGAGGACACCGGAATGATTTCTGGTCACTTGGAAAAGGCGTCAATCAAAACCACATAGGAAGTGCCACATATCGACCCTACGTAATCGATGTGGATCTGACATCAAGGCTTCTCAGGTCGAGGCTAGGGAACCGGTAGTTGATGTGGTGGGTTCTAGGCAGCTTGTTGACATAGGGAACAGCGTTTTACAGATTCAGTAATGTGCTTTCTCGCATTCTTCTGACCAACGCCATGGGACGTCCCTTCCGAGCAATTTATTTGGTGGGGATCGAATGCCGTGTAGCGAAGACAAGAATGCCGAATAATAGCTGATTAACTCCAAAAGGGTCGCAATGATGGAACATCCTCAGGAGGTGGAATCTGTTGTATGGGATCAGGATGACGACCAGACGCGTGGAAAATGAAGCCGAGATACTTCTTAGCTGTCAAAAAGAATTCACATTTCTCAGGACGGAGGCAGGGGCCATTGTCCTGAATGCGCAACAAAACGGCATTGATCCGACCAACAAGCCATTCGGGTGGAGCAGCAACGATTAGCACGTCGTCCAGGTATGCGACCACACCTGGAATGCCAGGAAATGATGCCTATCAATTGCTGGGTCAGTTTTGACGCCTAACGGGAAACGGGTGTATTGATACAGCCTGCGGTGTGTGTTGATTATCAACAGGGCGTGATTCTGGTGCGAATTCAACTTGAAGATATGCTTCAGCAAGGTCGATTTTCGCGATGAAATTCCTACCGTTCAGAACAGTGAATAGATCGTAGGGCACTGGTAGTGGATAGTCATTTAGACTGGTTGAGAAATCGGCACATATGCGGATGTCACCGTTGGGTTTCTTCACCATAACGATTGACATTGCCAAGGCAGAGTATGCTTCAGGGGACACAACCCCTTGTTCCGGTCGTTGAAGTTCGGCATCTATCAGTAGGGGGGAAGCATACGTGATTTGTTTCTTTGGACGGAAGACTGGCATAACGCCTGGCAGGAGGTAGAGGACTGATTGTGTCGCAGTGCATTGACCGAGACCGGATAGGAAACCAACTGGAAATCGCTTGATAAAGTCAGATGCATAATGTGGATGTGCCGTGGGAGACTGAACTGCATTGCAAATGACACGGATTGGAATGTCGGCTAACCCCAAGCGGTCAAACCAATCAATAGCCAATAAGTTCAGCTCAGCTGCGTTACGTAACACGACCCCACAAGTGTAGTTCCCCGAAAAGAGCACAGCATTGAAGCTCACCGGAATGTTTTAGCTCTCCACCACAGGCACTGGTAGCAGTTCGAGCCGCCTGTCTGATCGGAAGTTGCCCAAGCGTGTGCCACAGCTTTTCCGAAATGATGGTGCTGTCCGACGCAGTGTCCAACTGCAGACAGACTGGGTTACTATTGACAGTGGCTGTCAGATACTTTCGGTGGCCTAGGGTGTTGATACGGAACATAGACTGCAAACTGAGAGAGGAACCAACGGAGTTCGATTTCGGTTTGGGGCGGACGCCTGATGACTGACAATACTCATCTTTGTGTCTCACGGGTTTACATTGGCGGTACCGATGCTGTTTGTAGGGCAGAACCTGACGAAGCGCCAGGCTCCTCAGTGTCAACATTGTGAAGGTGGTGTCTTTGGGCCTTTGTTTAGCTTCGGACCAGAATACTGTATGGCCGATCTGTTCGGGCCGGAGTTGATAGAGCCAGGTTGTTGCGTGGACTTCCAAGTTGGAACATCGTGGTATCACGCTTCCGGTTGAGCAATCGAGTTTTCGAGGTGATGGCCTGCAGCATCATTGATGGGTCCTGCCCGACGCGGCTGAGGGGTCGGGTACGGATTTCTGCATCCGTCGGGGATTTTAGACCTCATATGAAAATCAGCGACTTCAACTTATCTTCCGTTAACAATCCGAGTTTGGACCGTTCGCATTCCCGGTCCACCATGCCAGAATAAGTGAGGAAGTCGTCTGTATCACTTTTCACCAGCTTCAGGTGCCGATAACGGATGTTGAAAATTGACGTCTGCTCGCCAAATATTTGCGAAAGCTTGTGAACTGTTTCGCCAAATGTGAAGTCACGTTCGTTCTTTGGAAAAATATAGTTAGCGTACTTATCATGCTCTGCGGGTCCAAGTTTATGGAGGAGGCGAACCTTCCAACTATCATCCTGAATCGAAAACTTGATCCTAAGCAGGTCTTCATAGCTCTGAAACTAGGCATCGAGATTTCATAGCAAAACTCGTTGATATTGCCAGCGATTCCGTCAACTGACTGTGGGAAGATCGACGCAGTCGGTGAAGCCAAAAATGTAGTTGATAGTCCCTCCGTAAGTACAGTTGTTGCCCAAACATTACTTTCAGTTGATCTGCCTTCATCTTGCATCACCAAGTATGTTACGGTTTCGAAAAAGCAGCGAGCAAACAACAATATGCGCGAACTGTGACGATATTATATCCCCAACTATGTTTCCTGATCCCTACTCCTAGTACAGCGGTATAGTGAGAAGACAAACAAAAATGCCGGGAGTTCGTTAGCACACACAAAGATACAGAGTTTTTTTTGGGATATTGATATTTCCAACATTCATAGTCCTCTTATGTGGGCGAGATGACCCAAGTGGTTATGGCGCGAATTTACTGACCGGAAGGTCCGTGGTTCAAACCCGACCTCTGCCTCTCGACTTTCCCTGTCTAGGCTTGGGCAACCTGGCAGTATCACAGCCCCCGTGCCTTTTTCGAGTGGCATGGCAGCTAGGCCCTAGAAGGGTGCTAAAGCTGAACGTAGTCCTCTTATACGAACCTCAGGAACCGACACGAACTTACCGAATCAAATCGTCATTAAGACGCTGTCGATCGGATGACTTCAGGTGGTCCCGCACCTTCAATGGTTCCCACCTCCCAGTCTCCAGCTGTAGGGCTGATCTGCTCACTGGTATACTGTCCTACCCGTACCCTCGTTGTGTACCGCTTAACTGTTTTGGCCCGCGCACTACACAGTCTTGTTCGTACTTTTTAATGAAGTGTTGGTTGATTCTCGAGCTTTGCCAGAATGACCAAGAAAGCCAGACGGTGATCCGCCGTCCGATTAAGAACTCATGACGCCCATTAATAGTTCGCAAACTAGCAGGTTAATTTCGTGCACATGTTTTCAATTTCTCTAAACTCATTTCAGCCTAACTTCCCTATCGCCTTCTCATAAGTCTTACCGCCAGTTGCCTGAGTTTTACGTGGTCACTCTGCAACCCTATATCCGTGACTGTTCTCCCAGTGCATTAGTCCCCGTCTCTGTGCAATCCATCACCCCACAGCATGAGTACTTTCAAAAAGTTCTTTGGTTCCAAGAAAAATGATGCTGGCAATGCCAAAGCTGCAGCCAAACAGCTGGAAGAAACCAGAGATTTGTTGACCAAGAAGTCTGAGTTCCTCGAGAAGAAAATTGAAGAGGAACTAAACACCGCCAGACGTTATGGAATGAAAAACAAGAAAAGTGAGGTTATATGCGAATTCATTTACCACTGTCCTTCTCTCTCTCTCTCTCGCGTTGTCAGTGGCCTTGAAAGCCCTTGCCCGTAAAAAGGGTTATGAGAACCAATTACAAAAGATCGACAACACTATCCTGATTGTTGAAAGCCAACTACAAGCCTTGGACAATGCCGGCATGAATTTGGAGGTTTTCCGTGTCCTGAAAAATACTTCAGAGTCGATGAAGGGTTTACACAAAAATATGTGAGTTATTTGAGCTGTTTTTTGATTAGTTTACCGTGTTTTATGTAGGAAGCTTGATAACGTGCAGGATATTATGGATGATATCGCAGAGCAGCGAGAAATAGCGCAGGAAATATCGGACGCGATCTCTAATCCGGCCACTTTTGGTCTCGAGATCGATGACGATGAACTGGCTCGTGAGTTGGAAGCCCTCCAGGTTAGTTCTGACTTGTTTTTTTTCACCCGTGTGACCTGTATGTATGTGTACGTGTCATTTGCACAGTACTTCTTTTCCTCACGCCTGTCTGCACTTCATTTCTTTTGGAGAAATCGTGGTTTTCTGTCCATTTCACTCGCCTTATGTGCGTGCGACATTTGTACAATTGCCAAAACGTGTTTGAGAAGACGGGAAGTATAAGCAGTAGTCTGTTTTCGCCCACCTGCAGAAATTAAGGTGGATCAACTGACGGCATGAGGTCAGGGTCGATGTGGCATAAGACTGTCTGTAAATGTGTTATTCATGTTTGCGTGTGGGCCGGATTGCTGACAGAGCGTCCAGACGGAAGTATAAGCAGTAGTCTGTTTTCGCCCCACCTGCACTGCTATGTGCAGAAAGTAAGGTGGATCAACTGACGGCATGACGCCTGGGTCGATGTGGCATAAGACTGTTTGTAAATGTGTCATTCATGTTTGCGAGTGGGTCGGATTGCTGACAGAGCGTCCAAAACTAGACGGGAGGACGATTAGGGCCATCAACCAAAAAAACCGTTCAGCTGTAGCACCCTTCCGATGCCTCACTGCCATGCCACCCGTAGGTTGCAGGAGGGCTGGATACTGCCAGGTTGCTCAAGCCTAGACAGGGGAAGTCGAGATCCAGAGGTCGGGTTCGAACCATGGCTCTTTCGGTCAGTAAATTCGCGCTGTAACCACTTGAGCCCGTCAACCAAAGCCTTTGGCTCATAAGGCTAACCGAAAGGCAGAGTTGGTTGGCGTGAGGCTGTCAGAGCAACGTGCATTTTTAAGGAGCATGTCGCCACATATGTTCTGACCCAAAACCTGAAGGACTAGGAGCCCCATCGACCAACCTGGTAATGGGGGAGGTTCTGTAAGTGTCTGACTTACACTTCCAGTATATCCGGTCGGGCCCCTTCGTAACAGACCCAAATTTGATGGGCGAGCGAATGGGTGGAGTGTAGTATTTCTTCGCCAGTCGAGAAGGATGCTGCTGTCTGTGCCCCCCTTTGGAATACCGTAAACCTCACTGGGTCGGTGTAAACAGGATTACGAAACGTTTAGAAAACGAGATGTTCAAATGAGCGTTCCTGGATTGGAGAGTTGCCTGAATGTTTGCGTGCCCAGGTCACGCCATCGCACAAGAACGAATCAGACGTCTAGATCCTCTAATTCTCCAAACTTGATTTCGTTTCAGTAGAGATTTCGCTGGGAAACACCAAAAGTACGCGTCTCACAAAACTCGGAGAGTTTGAAACCCAAGGCCTTCTGGCCACTGAACGCTCAACTGTTTGGTCAGAAACAGCCGATCAGCTGTGAGATTTCTTTCTTAGAAGTAGTCACTCGAGGAGCCACGTGATATGATTTCCGTGGGAATGAAGGGAAAGTGGCGTTATGTCCTGACTAATGGCGACCTATCCCACTACTGTCCAACCGCTTCTAACCTAAAGGTCAAGTGTTCAACTTCTGGCCGGACGGTCAAAATTCTCTGAGTTTTGTGAGATAGGCACTGATGGTGACTCTCGATAAAGGTGAAACAACTGTACAGTGCTTCTGAACTGTTCAGTATTGATTGGTTCCACTGACTTGGTGAACTCTTTATTGAAACGTTTCGAATCCCCTCACCACTACCAATGGGTACAGTTTGTTAAGTGTGGAAACAACGGCTAATCTAAAGTATCACCTTGGATGATTTGCTTTAGTGCAGCAAAAAGATACAAGCCGCTGGGTTTGTCTACTTCACTTGCTTTCATCGGTTTCAGTAACAAAACACGGAACGTTTATAAGACAGGCGTATTGCAACGAACAGTGAGAGAAATAACGATAATATTTTACAACTTGGGAAGTGAGGGCAGTCCCCAGTTTCAGAGCAGACAGGCCATTCGTTTAGTGTCAATAAGATATGCTACAACGCCTAGAATGAAGCCTGTGGGTCACACAGATGAGGTCTTTTACGTACGTGATAACATGGCGTATTAAATGACGAGTGTAAACCATGCTACCGGATAGGTTTAATTCAAAGTTGATCCAATCGGAGCTGTGTGCTGCTGCTGCTGTGTGGTTACATTTGAGTATACGAAGCGCGCATCCTTTCAGGCGGAATTACCACCACAAAAAAGCGGACGGTTTCATGTGCTTGCTACGCAGACCTACAAACATCTGCCTTAAGATGTATCCCGCGACCTAATTGGGACTTGTTTCAACCACTCCAGACCAACTGTCCCAGTTTGTCCAACCACGTGTTGGCCAAAAGTTCACATGCCGTCATGGTCGATCCGAATTCGCGTTAGTTCTACCCTGGGCCACATCGGTTTCTGACGCTGCGCACAAATACATTCGGACTACTCATACGAAAAATGACGTCGTTCGCAAGTTGTTGCATTCGTGACCTTTACCCAGTTATCTTCAGCCATTGGTCTATTTTGTGGTCATTATCTTCGATTCAGTCTTTAATACACTTTTTACAACTGCGAGATTTGACGGATCTTTGCTAAAAGGTGAATTTAAAGTTTACATCCGTTTTGGAAGGAACCAACAGTGTCCATACTTCCATGTCGTGGAGACACAGAGTCAAGCTGAGAAAGTTTTTAAAGTTGACCTTGCGACGCAAAACTGGGTGATTCTCAACCCGATAGGTAAGGTGGAGTTTACTATTCGCCTCGGTTTGAGCTCTTGGTTGTTGGTCGCCAAGCGGATTTGTATCCATGACCGCATGAGGCCAACGTGGCACCGTCGCCCATCGGTACTGCACAGGCTGGACATATGCGATATTTGTCTTCTAGGGCTGTTCACTCAGCCACTTTCAAGAACCCGACCTCCGCCTCTCGACTTCCCCTGTCCGTCCAGCCTTGAGCAGTATGACAGTATCGCAGCCCTCCCACTTCCTTCGCGAGGTATGTGAATTTTCGCCGAACTTTATTGAACCACTCACACCAGACGCGTCACCCGACGAATGTACCCAGTGTCAGAAGGCGTTGTTGCTCAGTCAGGTAACTTGGATGCAGATTTCTTTGTGCTTAAATCACAACACTGTAAATGGGGTCCGGAACCATCAGGGTTGTTGCTCCAGACGATGATGAGGACGCAACACAAACACCACATTTTAGAGTCGATTCACTGAAGTTTTCAGAGACTTTTTGTAGCTCTATGAGCGTCCCAACTCGACTGGAGAGAAGCCAACAACTGGCAGACAAGAACCACTTGACGGAGAACTCAAAGAAACAAGATTTGACATCCTGCTTACTGAAAAGAGCTTTCATATAAGATAATTTGCGTTGTTTCTCCAAAAGATATTAGTTTCCGTTTTCCCCGCGTTGTGTGCTAACAAATGTCATCTGAAATCAGGATTAGACACCGTACCCTTCCTGGTTCTTTCATTTCACAATGATGAACATGTACTGGTAAACTTGTGTGTTTGTCTCACCAATGTCTTTGTCGTTGTCCTCCTGTTCTAGGCGGAAGACCTGGAGAGGCAGATGTTGGATGTAGGTCCGTTGCCCGACGTCCCAAGCATTCCGAGCCACGAAATTGCAGGTCCCTCCACGGTCAAACCTCAAGCCGATAGTAAGTTGACCTTTTCATTTGATTCGTTGGTCCTGGAGTAGGCCAGTCTGTTCCTCATCCAGGTGTAAACGAACAGCTCAATATATGACCATTGTGATTTATTGATTGTGTCCAGACCAAAGTACTTCCAGCATAGTTGCTCATCCATTATTACGCTTAGTTGATTCACAATGTCGCAACTGCTCGTGACAACAAGCTAAATGACGGCAACTACCTGAGGCGTTCTCATGTGAAAGATCAGATATGATTTAATACATTATGTCACGTGATAGACCATACTGGTAGAATCCTGCTCCATGCGGTTGTTGTTGTCGTTTCTGGCTACCCGAGATTTCTCGACAGACGCTAATCCTTATCTTTATTGAAGCGTACTGGTAGACCACACCTGAGTTCGTGCTCAGGTGTGTTCGCAACACCGACACCGTGCTTTCGTCGCAAACTACTACTCTCAATGGCACACAAAGTTGGTTTTCATAGGAGACTCAACTGAATCCAGCGCAAAGTTGGTTTTCATAGGAGACTCAACTGCATCCAGCCGAATCTGTCGTTTATGACGGCCCGCTTCAACTGAATGTGCTGCACCAGGTCGCCTCATGTTTCGGTTGATACGACATTCGGAATGTCGCAACACGTTGTTCTCTGTACGTAGCACATTTCTCATAAGGTTGCTGAAAACTCCTCGACAGCCCAAGACCGGTTTTGCCCTTCGTGGGGCTCATCAGGTAGGCACCATCAACCTTATGTTCTACTGGAGCCAAACTTGAACAGATTTTATCAGGTACTCCCATTTGCGCACGAATTTGGTTTTGACGGGAGGCTCAACTGAATCCAGTTGAAGCGGACCATCATAAAGGACAGATTCAGCTCGATTCGGTTGATTCTGCCTTCAGAACCAAATTAGTGTGCAAACGACTGTGTTGTGCAAAATCTGGTATGTAGTAGGCAGAAATAGTGTGCAAACGACTGTGTTGTGCAAAATTTGGTATGTAGTAGGCAGTAAAGCATCATCGTCAATACTGATGTTGATGATCATGAGGTTGGCGGGAACTCGATGGCGCATCATCGTCAACACTGATGTTGCTGTCTTAGATGGTCATGAGGTTGGCGGAAACTCGATGAATTCGCCTACCTCATGAGACCTAAGGATGACGGAACATTTCGTGGCCACCAAAGAGTTTTCAGCAACCTCATGGCTTGTGTGTTCCGTCTAGTGTGAGTGAGGCTCATTGCTACATTGGACTGTCGAATGCGAATGCCCTCAAGGACATGCCCCGACAAGCTCGGACCTCTGTACAGCTTTCACTCATCTGAATTAACCCTTCTCAACAGTTTTTATCAAGATTGCAATCGTGCTGCTGTAAAAGGCTTTTTTTATCATCTCTGTCTGTTTCTGGAGTTCCCAACTGGAGCGTCATCCTTGTCATCATCATCATAAACAGCAGCATCAGTGTTCAAAACGATGCTTCACTGCCGTACATTTAGAATACAAGAACGACTCCTGTCAGAAATCTTGGTCCATGAAAAGTGGAATAAGTCAGTAGAAAAGTTTCTTTTGGACGCTACTGAACTGGACAGGCGGGTTGTCATTCCTTCCTTTGTATTGGCACGGTTATTTTGGACAGCCTACCCAAAACAGTGCCGTATCTGAGTTCCGCCTTGAACCGAGCTCATCAGTGGTCTACCTCATCGACCAGGTCGTTCAAAGGTGCGCACAAATTCGGCAAACCGAATGTGACTGACTATAACTGTGTCATGCGTATTCACGTAGCCTTGCGTACTGACTAGTAGTCAACCGAATAGTGAAGCCACAACAGCGTCCCGATAGCCCTGTCCAAAACAGAACACCGTCATTTGAATAAAATCGCTTGTTCCTATCTTTGAGGTTTTTGAGCTTTGAAGTTCGACCGGGTGTTTCTTGTGCACTAGTCCTCTCGAAGATGGCGCGTAGCGAAGGGGCCTCTTTCGAAATCGATCTCTGTTTGATAAAACATTCGATATCAAAGGAACGTTGTTGCCACCGCGTGTCAAACAAATCTCTCTTATGAGACCACACTATAATGCTGAATCGCCTGCCCGTTACAGTCTTTCTATCTAACTTATTTCCATACCTATTCCAGCGTCCCGATAGCCCTGTCCAAAACAGAACACCGTCATTTGAATAAAATCGCTTGTTCCTATCTTTGAGGTTTTTGAGCTTTGAAGTTCGACCGGGTGTTTCTTGTGCACTAGTCCTCTCGAAGATGGCGCGTAGCGAAGGGGCCTCTTTCGAAATCGATCTCTGTTTGATAGAACATTCCATATCAAAGGAACGTTGTTGCCACCGCGTGTCAAACAAATCTCTTTTATGAGACCACACTACAATGCCTGGGTTGCTGAATCGCCTGCCCGTTACAGTCTTTCTATCTAACTTATTTCCATACCTATTCCTTACAGCATCAGAGAAAGACCTCGAGGAGTTGATGGCATGGGCAGAGTAATCAACAACACGGTTTGCTAACCTACGCCCGTTCCTTGTAATTCCCACACCGCACTGCCGCGGGTCCCTTCATCCTACGCGCGGGATTCCCTGTGAATTCCTGGTGGCGTAATATGTTCATTAACTGATTTGATCTGACTTTTTTGATTTGTTACCAACTCCTCCTTCATACTAACACTCGTCACCCCCCTCACCACCTTCTCACAGCCACTCTTCTGGTTATTTTTCTAGCGCTTTTGTCGTTAACAAACGTACGACCCGTTTGCTTTCTTCACTCGCTGATGTTATTCCAACTGATATTTGCTTTCTGAACCCTCCCAGTTGAATTGTTGGCGGAGGACGTTCTCTCACCACCGCAAACCATTGATGATACGTTGTTCGTCGACTCTGTGACAAATTTTCCTATATTGGAAAAGAATGTTTAAAATAGAATTCAAGATTCTTTTTTTTGGAGGCTGAAGTTTCTGGCCACACCATTGTTATCTATGCACTGATCCAGTTTCAACTCCCATACCTGATACAGTTGTAGGACATATGTGTCCCTGGTGAATTCGTTGATTAGTTGCCGTTTTGAAAACCGGTCGATAAGCTCGACACGGAGGTCAACAACTCGAATTCGGCTCCGCTAATTAATTCGAAATTTTGTTTACGCGCACTTTTCGCCTCAGGAAAGCCCATTGGCAACTCGGTTTTGTTTATTGACTTCTGGTCCCACCTTGCTTTTTCGTCCACTACGTTAGCTTGAGGCAGCTTCTAATAAAGGTGGACACGGAAGTTTTTACAAGGTTACGGCAAAGGCTTTGTGATGAAGCGAGAAGCGTCTTGTTGCAAATGCTCGATCCTGATTGGCTCACATCCTGACCAATCAGCGCATTAATTCCTGAGATGACTATTTACCGTTTCACCTTCAGGCAAGTGTCGGCCTACGTCAGACCTGTTCGACTCATCTGGGGTTCTGCGCTGAGAGTCACTCAGTACAGTCAGATTTCGCAATAACTCCACGAGTGACCCAGATGCTTTTGAGATTTGTATGCTTCAGTTTTGTTGACTTACCCTCAGCTCAGTCAGATTTATCTCGTATCACTGATTCAATAGACAGCGGTGAATGGTCTACTCACAGTACAGTTGTCTTTTATCCATAGGTACCAATACCCTAGCTGCTAAACTTGTGATATCTACAAAGTTTGACACCGTCACGGATGGTGTTTTTTTGGTAATTTACCTCGAAGTAAGTGTGGTCAGTCCCTGGGATTTCACCTGGCGGCCATCCCACTGGTACAGGAGTTTCGATTACCTGATACACAGAACAGCAGCAGCCAATCTCAGGCTTCCCACAACTCGGTCGCCGGTTCCACCTGTATACATGTATGTGATCCACGACCTGGCACGCAATTCGCCTAACAATATTCAGAACGTTATTGAGGTTACTCCCTCAATTCTATTAGACTTCCAATTAAAATATTCGGAAAATATCAGTCAATGCGGTTTCAACGTAATCACGACTTAAAACGCGAAGTTCCTAAAACATACGTCATGTTGTTTGCTGAGTTTGGATCACCTGCTGGTTTAGGTCACTTTGTTGACCCAAGGGACCTTGAACTCACAGATTCTGCAAAGTCACAGATTCAATTGGCTGCTCAACTGACATGAGCCATACACTATTTCAATCAAATAGATTAAAGGATGGTGGCATACAGCGGGGTGTTCAGAGAGAAATTCTGCCTAAAGGAACGTTCGAATAAGCGGGAGCGGCACTCTGGTAAGACTGAGGATCTAAACCACGTGCAAACGTTTTTTTTGGCCAATGAATTTGGGTGCAAGTCCAAGGGATTCAGGGGTTATAAACTCAGAGGTTGTTCGACCAAACACCACCACCATCATCATTGTCAGCTTAAGAACCGCGTACTCGTCGTACATTGGTTGTAGCTGTCGCAGTTTCGTTCATCGATGATTTGGGGGAGGGGGTAGGTAGCTGCGCATTGGAGGCGGGAGCTGATAAATTGGTGCATAAATCCAGCACTGTTAGTGAGCTGTCAAGTGGAGGGATTGGGAATGCAACCATGCATTGAAGGCAATAGCTTGGATGCACGAGCGCCATTGAGGGCGCGACTGGGTCATGTCTCACAATGTCTCTAACCATTGCTGTGACAGGTCTCGGGTCCCCATCCAGGAAGACGGCAATGACCAGCGCAGTTGAGTTTGCTGGTAATAGCTTATATACTTCGCTACCAAATCATTGTTTGACCACCTCTGGCTCTCTTCCACCCTTCACGTAGTTTCGCGAAGTTTCGGAAGTCGGTCAACCGGCATACGCAACACGTGGCCAAGCCAGCGCAACCTATGCAGTGTGATCAGTTCATTTATCAAGGGTGAATTATTTCTCCCGAATGCCATTCGACGAACTTCAGCATTGCTGATCCGGTGTTCCCACCAGATTCGAGCAATGGTCCGAAGACATCGACAAATCACCGCTCTGATTGTCTGGGGTGTTATGTAACTAGATAACCACTCATGGTGATGTGAGGAGATCTGGTGATATTCGAGGGAGGGAATTTCAGTGAAGCCAATCTATGCTGAGAAGTTGAGATGCGAAGCATCTCATCTTATTGGGGATCGTCAACAGTGTGCATCTCACGATGCCCAGAGAATTTCGAAGAGGCTACCTTCCGGCCAGTGGGTAAACACTATCTTTTGGCCACGCGTGGCTGATCAGCGGTGTGATAGCTCACACTCAGACAGGATGTAACGCCTCTCATCTTCTGAGCAAGGAAACCACATAACGTGGTCACTTATTGACTGGCTCCTCGAATGACGACTTCTCAGATGACAGTTATCTCAAACATCAAGTGTGTACTCCACTGTTCCCCAAGTTTGAAATATGAAATTGAAGAAGTCTCCTTGTCTGATAACAATGCGTATACACTAGGCTTAAGTAAAACACTGGGTTTCATTTGGTCGCGAATGCAAATAGGCTACATTTTCAATGGTGGTGACAAGTTCGATCTGGATGTCCAACGTGGCTTCGCTGCCGTTTGAATCAATCTCACGTCAGCTGAAAGTACAACGCGGGTTTTTGCCGTGATTTTTTGTGAAACGCAACTATCGGTTTCCCGCAAAGGACGAAAACGCGGGGCGTAGAAGGCCTAGAAGCTGACCCACAGGCCACGTGCTAAAAACAATTCGTTCGTTGTCAGCTGACCCTAACTCAACTCTCATCCGATCCGGAGCTCAATGATCGATAGATGAGATACAAGGTTGAATTCTACTCATCAGTCCATGTACTGCAGGAAACAAGCGCCCTGAGGCTGAAGACCCTTGCCGAGCCATTGATCAATCATCCGGCGCAATCAGGATGTTTTGATTTTATTGATTTATCGTATTGACTCACACCCACAAATTGATGTCACATATGCTGTCCGTCTTGTGATAGACGGAAATTTGTGAAACTCATTCATTCCGAAACGCTGCTGTTTCTCCTTTCTCCTCTATGTTGAACACTAGCTGAATGGAGCCATTTGTCACAAAATAACTGGCCAGGCTTTACTTTGAAACTGGATATCGTCTTTGGTGCCTGTGGCAACTGCTTGTCGTTTAGTAGCTTTTCTTGGTTATTTGATTTCTATGCCTCTGGTATGCTTCGTTTCAACTGCAAACGGTGTGAGACTTGTAATACCTGTGGGGTTGGAATATTCCCGGGGAAGAAGACCAGAGCAGCTTTTGTGAACTTGCGTTACCTGTGACATAGGCATGACATCAGTCTATTCGTCAAAAGGCAAGATTGCTCAAGCGGTTAGAGCGCGAATTCACTGACCGGAAGGTCCGTGGTTCGAACCCGACCTCTGCCTGTTGATAACAAGGCAGCAGAAGGGTGTTACAGGTGAACTTTTTTCAAGGATCGCCTTTATAATGCTGCGGTGCGCTTCCTATTACTGTACGGATCAGAGACCTGGCCACTGCGAACCGACGACACCAAAAGACTTTCAGTATTTGACCATCGATGTCTTCGAAGCATTGCTCGAGTCTGGTGGGAACAACCGGATCAGCAATTCTTAAGCACGTCGAACGGTATTCGGGAAAAATAACTCACCCTTGATAAATGAACTGATCACACTGCATAGGTTGCGCTGGCTTGGCCACGTGTTGCGTATGCCGGTTGACCGACTTCCTCGAAGGGCTCTTTTCGCGAAACTACGTGAAGGGTGGAAGAGAGCCAGAGGTGGTCAAACAATGATTTGGTAGCGAAGTATAAAAGCTATTACCAGCAACCTCAACTGCGCTGGTCATTGCCGTCTTCCTGGATGGGGACCCGAGACCTGTCACAGCAATGTTTAGAGATATTGTGAGACATGACCCAGTCGCGCCCTGAATGGCGCTCGTGCATCCAAGTTATTGCCTTCAATGCATAGCTCCCTTCACAATCCCCCCACTTGGAAGCTCACTGACAGTGCTGTATTTATGCATTAATTTATCATCCCCCCGCCTCCAATGCGCAGCCACCTACCTCACCTCACCAGATCATTGGTGAACGAAACTGTGGCAGCTACAACCACTGTACGACGGGTACGTGGTCCGTATACCTGACGATGATGATGATCTCGAATTAACCGGGTTGGATAATAATGCTCTTGGACGTTAATTTTCTATCATGTAACTACCGAGTGAACATGCTTGTAGATACTGAGGGCCTTTGCAATAAGCGTGACTATCTGGGTCACCAGGTGCCTTGTGGCGAACAGTAGGCGAGTGGAACTGCGCATCTGCACGTCACGTGCTTTGTGGCGTTTTCAGAGTGAGGTTGCAGAGAAATATCGTAGTCGTCAGATATTAATCATGGATCGTTTGTCACGGATTTGTTCACCAATAACTTAGGACATTTCGGGTCGTAGCTCCAAGCCATGGAGTTGCTTAGGCTACCAATCGTATGCCTAGAGTGTAAATACTTTCTTCGTGTACCACGTGAGTGTCAACCTCCAACGCAAACGGCAGTGGTTTACAATTACATAACCAGCGGATTTTTCATGAAGGAAACTACTCATGAGGTTGCTGAAAACTCTTCGACAGCCCACGACCGGTTTCGCCCTTCTTGGGGCTCATCAGTTAGGCGCAGTCCCCTAGTTTCCATCAACATTATGTTCTATTTGAACCCGAATCTGATTGTTCTTTCACGTACTCGAATTCAGATTGTGCGCGGTGAGCTCGTTGAGCGTTTTGTTGGAACGGTAGCAACTGAACTCTGCTTAATTAGATGGAAGTTTGCACACAAATCAGTTTGTCTGCCGGGATCGGACCGGTCGCGGCTTATATTGATCACATTTAAAAAAATTGTAGTGGATATGTTATGGATTTCGTTTCAGAAACCGATCAAATCAGCCGACAGTTGGTCAGAAATCAGCTACTTCACTCAGCCTGTCGGAAGGCAAGCTGGTGCTCCGAATGAGGATGCTGAAGGGTTCGCGTAATATCTTTTCCCATTGGTTTGAAATCTCCTAATAGCTGCTGCTCCTACACTTGTCCCAGATTCCATTTCAAGCGATCCGTCTGTTAAAAAATGACAAAAAGATCGAATTTTGATATCCGAAAACGACCGGTGGTCCGCTAGCATTCCTTGGTCGTAAAGCAGTCATAAATTCATCTTTTAGTTGTCCGTCTATCTACGATGATGTCGTAAACCGTGTGTGTAAATTCATCTTTTAGTTGTCCGTCTATCTACGATGATGTAAACCGTGTCTGTCCCGTATGCTTTCTCACTGTTTGAGGTCGAATGGAATATCGCATCTAAACAGCAGTATCGTTGTTCAAATTTCAGAGGTCAGACTGTCTCTGGTCCACGAAGAGTTGTTGTTAGTGTCTGATAGCGAGAATGGGCGATGTCTGTTGGATGCATCCAGGACAGACGTGTTCGCTACTTGTGAAGGAATCGCGGGATTTCGCCACAAATTCCAGTCCATAGCCCCAAACGTCGTCCCGGCAGGAAGTGATTGTAGACTTGTTTAACTGATAAGTTGGACCTCTATGTGGCATGAGTACATTAATGCAACCGGTGAGACGAATAGTTCGTCACAAATTCGATCACATCGTTCACGACTGTCATTTGGCCGATGGCATTCTCGCACAAAAGCCGTTGGCTTCACTGAGTAGATTCCACTCCCAGCCATACCGGACAGACAGAACTATTTGGTGTCGACGAAGTGATTTGATCATCAATCTGAACGCTTCATGCTTGGTCCCTATTCTCTTTGTCCTCGGTGATCTAAGTGGTAGCAGCTGAGAAACTGAACTGTACTCGAATACAGCTGTCCTGTTTGCGAAATCGGTAATGCAGTGTCTGTCCCGGTTACTACCGACGGTTATGCATAACAGTGATTGAATCCTTAAAAAACATTCATGATTATCGAAAAAGTTTGGTGACAATCGGTAGGTTTATTGCTGGGCAACGTTTCGCTATTGACACAAAAGCTCCGTCAGGCCAAGTGACTAGGTTCCGAGATTGGCCGAGATTTAAGGTTGAAGGAGAACCATTCAGCTAAGTCAAGCTAAATCTCTGTTGGGTGTCGGCCGAGTGGTTTTTGTGTCTTAGGGTCGGTGAACAAGTGTTGGGCCCATGGTGAACCTGCATGTGTTTGGGTCCAATCTAGGGACTAGTTCTTCTGGTTCGGTCCATTTGATGATCCCTCTTGAACGTCGTTCGAACTTTCTGTCCGTCTGTGTGGGTGAGCTAGTGCTAAGATATTTTCATAAAGGAAACTACTCACAAGGTTGCGGAAAACTCTAAGATAGTTGTGTAAGTGGGATGCTGTGAACTTTAGCCGGGTCGGGATTTCCACCCCCACCCCTAGTTTTTGATAATGATTCTACGTGGATTGACAACCACACAGCCACTAGTCAACTCGGCTTATCTATGACCGCTTTCCATACGCTCGCCATTTCCACATTCTCGATTCCATTCACGCTGTGATGCTTGGTGATTTCCACCGCCTCGGCTATCAGCCGCTGCGTTGTGAATCGCAGTCCCCGTCTTAAAACTTCCGCATTCTTCAGATCAATTCTATATCCCGTGTCTAAGACATGTACCGCCATCGCTGAGTCTTTGGCCAGCGAACGAAACGGCCAGGGGTATGCAATTCTGATGAGCTCTTATAAGGGTGAAACTAGTGTCCAGTGGTGTGGACTCACCAGGATGCTTGCGCCGGGACAGCAGGACGATTGATCAAACGGGACTCATGTGAGTGCGCATTCTACAATCCCATAACCAACAACAACTAAGACGACTTTCAAACCGAATTTTTCGTTCAACACTATACATAAAATCACACATTTGGACGCTTTTGCTCTCCACGGATTTTACCTTCGAAGTTGTGTTCAAATCTCAACATTTTGGCATATCGGGGCTGGGTCAATTACCTATCATATGCCATCTAACTTGTGTAGGCTGGGATGATGCAGTAAGACAAATCCTTGCGAATGCTTACCACAAGCTTGTCTATCTCCAAAATATTTTGTTTTTCTGAGACACGCGTGTGAACTCACCGTCACGTGAAAATCAAAAATCAATATACCTTCGTCAGCCTGCAGCTTTTACTTCATGTGATGAGTTGACACACGTGTTCTGAAAGCCGCTCAGTAAACTTACTAAGCGAAATTCAGTGGTTCATTGTGACTGACACATGCATGGTTCGATGGACTGACTGAATTGATTTCCAAGTTCCATCGAGGGGTGAACTATCGATTTCAGAGCTGACAGTCCGCGCACTGATTGCTGGCGAAACGTTCGCAAACGAAGTCCCAAGATCCCCTTAATCTACAATCGTGAGCGAAATTTTGCTCCAGCACGTCCTTTCTTTGGAGTCACGACAATAATTGCACCAGGACAAAAGGAGTGATGTGGAATCGAACCTTACAAATCCAGCAAGCACCTACAACTAACCAGATTGTTTAAAATTTTTCCTCCACACTCTGCAATTGTACATATGATAAATCATTCTCCTAAATGTATCTTTTCCCAATGTACACAAAAAGTACTTTCTCCTCTGGTGACCTTTCATCGGGATGCCACCGTGGAAACAGCTGTTAGCAACTGAATTCTTTCCGTGTTTATTTTCTCCTCTCTCCAGGAGCCATGCCTCCTGAGTAGATATTGTGACTTGGCCAGGGCTATTTCATACGTAAGTCACAGCAAGATCTACGCAGCAAGCCATCCATCCGTATCACAGTGCTCACAGACAGCAAGATCTACGCAGCAAGCCATCCATCCAGTGAAATAATTGATTGGTCAATGCCGCGGTACGCTCCATATTACTACACCGATAAGAAACATGGCCACTGCTCGCTGAGGACATCAAAAGACTTTCAGTATTTGAGTGTCGATGTCTGCGGAGCATTGCACGAGTCTGGTGAGAACACCGGTCCAGTATCGCTGAAATACGTCGAATGGTATTCGGAAGAAACAACTCACCCACGATTGATGAACTGGTCACACTGCATAGTTTACGCTGGCTTGACAACGTGCTGCGTATGCCAGTTGATCGACTGTGATGAACATGACTGATACCCTATTCATTGCTCTATTCATTATTCCCTTGTTTTACTATTACATATGGTGTACATATACGCCAATTCGAATACATACGTGCTGTTTGCTATGCTGCACTGAGTTCTGGACTTCTAGTTCGTTTGGTTATACCGATATACGTGCGAAACTTAATTCTCACATTTTGGCGTCGCGATTGGAGCGATTCATTATGCCTACCGAAATGGAATCATTAGATGTTAATTCAACTGCGCGAGACGTAGAGGATTATTTGGAATGGTTCGACACATGGTGTCTCACAAAATCTGATATGGATGCTAAGAAACTCACAGCATATTTCGTTCACTTCGTTGGTAAGGAGGCGTATACGTTGATAAAAAATTAGTATATTCTGAATTTCCAGTCGATATTTCCTACGCTGCATTGATGAAAAAATTCTTCAACACTTCAAGCCGATTAAATTCGTAGCAGCCGAAAGAGCTAGGTTCAATATGTTGACCCGCTC